CAACTATGTATTATCTTACGAAAATCCCCTTCTCCAGTTGATAAATTTGACACCGTAAAGATGAACATGCAAGACAATATATATTTTAGGGGGTAGTTGTAATTATCCAAATAAGAGCGATTATTTTTTTTCGTAATTTGACCTTACTACAGGGATGGCCGTAATTTACCCTAATCGTAAATCGTATCAGAAGTCAGCTTGATGTAAGAAAAAAAAAAAAAGCCAATTTCTGAATGAAATTAAAACTGCATTACCATCTTTCAAATCCAGATTTTGTGTTTCAAAATCGATGAATATAATGTATGTGTTTCATAGTATAGAGATTTAGGTCGAGATTAATTAATCCTTCATTTTGTAACATTATATAATTTAGGGAAAATTACACCAACACTCTCGAAGTATGCTTAATTAAATAACTTTAAGATTCCCGTGGTATCGATAATTACACTCACCCCCCTGAAACATAGTTAGAAGCTATAATGGGATAATGCATATTGGATATATTCCAATAGAGTTCTAACGGACTATTATTTTTAGGCTTTTAGCTAGTGGTGGGGACAACTTATAGTTAGGGGCTAACATGCATGGCTCCCCCAACATTTCTTAAATTGCACCCATAGTTCTTTGTTATCTCCACCTCTTCCTGAAACTAATGATCCACTAGAATTCTATCGGAATAACTTAACCAATGCATTATCCCATTAAAGTTTATAACTACGTTTCAGTGGGTCATGAATGTAATTATTGATACCACATGAATCTTAAAGTTATTATAGCATACCTTAGGGGTGTTGGTGTAATTTACCATATAATCACTAGTAGAAAAATGGTTTTTTACTACGACCATTAACCGTAGCAAAAGGTATCAAATTCGTAGTAAAAAAGTTTTTGCTACGAATTTGCCCCATAGTATATGCGGGCGTAACAAAAACTTTGTTACGATAAATGGCCGTACTGGCCAAATATTTTTTTGTTACGGTAAATCCTAGTATTTACTTCAACTTCAAAATTGTCTCGTAGTAAAAAACAAATTTTTACTAGTGAATTAATCTATAAGCTCAATCTCCCACCAAAACTACCCTAAGTAACACATATTTATTGGATTTTGATTAAACATTAGTTATTACTATATATATACCTTATGGAAAAGGAACTCATATACGTAGTAAAGTAATAAATTACAATTGTGCAAGAATTACATTAAATTAGCTAGCTTTGGCATCCTGCAGGTGAAAACGAAAGGCGAAAAAGAATCGGAGCGGGGGCCGTGAAATAAAATGGTAGGGGCGGCAAATGAGCACTGAACTGAATACGATTCTATCTTTTGCACCAATTATATTTCATCTCTCCAACAATATAATCATGTCCAGGTTCATTATGGATCACAAAAGATTCCATGGTATAACCAGATTTGCCCTAAAAGTATGTAAGATGAGGAAATAATATATTTTTAATATTATTTATTTTCTTGACAAAACCCTATATTATAAATAGCCACATTTCGGATACAGCATTTGAAAAATATTAAAAACAGCTAGCAACTCCAATTAAATAAATAAATTCAGATGTCCCCTAGAGTTCCCTGCAAGCACTTCGGAAGGCGCTGAATCGTACGTAACGTACGTACATACTGTCTCGTCTGCTGAAGTGTTTGGGGGAACTCCTGGATTCGTTTGATGCCTGTAAGAATTATTGCAGAAAATTTGGTTATATTATATTATATAATTCTACTACTGCATGCGCCATGCAGACTTGAGTTTCAATATGAGATGAATCCATGCCACGTACACACATTTTGAAGGTATGTAACCAAATGTGGTATGAATTGAACTTAGCTTGGATCATGTATAAGGTTGCTGGTTTACTGCATTCGGCACCCCGAATTCTTTTTCTAACTCGTAAAGATTCGCCGTATGTTACTTTATTGGTAAAAACACCCTATAAAAAAAAAGATCGCCATGAAAACTCATTGTTTAGGGCTTGTGTGCTAAAAAAATACATCACAAATACGTCACTTATAGCTAGGATTGAAGATAATTTTGAATTTGATATAATTTCCGAAGGTTTTTCTCTCATTTTCGGTGCTTGTAATTTCTTCTGCAGGACTCGACAAAATTATTTCTTTCATACACCAGACATATTTGAGTCGGAAAACAAACTCTGTATCTCAAGCAAAACGGTCTAAGGAACATGATTCAAGAGCAGAGCTCATGAACCATGTTGAATTTCGGCTATCCGACGTCATTTAGATTCCCATGAAATCCTTTTTTTGCCATTGTAGGAAAAATATAATTTAGAAAATTCAAATCAAATAAAAATATCATATGCGGATTCCGTTAATTGAATTGCACGTTTTCAGAATTACGAGAACTACTAGAATCGGGTTTTTACGAAATTTTGACTTTTTTGTAACATTTCGTATTTCCCGGTTTAATTAGCTTTCGAGTTTTATTAGAACGTAAACCTCTATAAATTAATACAGTCGGGATTAGCGAAATTTTATTAATTTAGCGAAATATTAAATTGTCGAACTAATGATTTAGTAGATTTTTACCGAGTCGGGACCAGAAGAAACTATTATTTATGCGGGGTAATTAACTTTTATGAGTATTAATTATTATCCAGGTTCTACTGTATAGTATTTTTCAACATTACCGATAATGTCTCTAATAATTATGATTTAACAATCATAACTAGAATTTCAAATTTAATTCATGTTGGATTTAATTTGTGAGCCCAAAAGTATTTTGTAAGCCCAAATCTGATAAATAAACCTGTGGCAGCCCAATTTGATTTCTGAAGCTTAGAGTTGACTTAAGTCCACTTATAGGAATCTTCCAGATGAATAATCCTAACCCCTCATTTTTTTCTAAACGATCAATTCGAAGTAATTAATTCTTGCGCAAATTGCGGTCACCTCTGAAATACGGCCAAATTATGAAAAAAAATCCTCTTGTTTTGGTAATTTCAGCCACCCTTCCTTTTAAGTATCTTTTAATAAAATTCATGTAATTCGGTTATTTACCGATGCAAATCGTATATTCAGTTCGGTAAACGGTATGAAATGTTGTCGTACTAAAATTTTGGTTAGATTTTACCAATTTAACATCCCTAAGTTTACCTTTGATGGGTATTTTCGTAAGATAATACATAGTTGAGGAGGTGGCTGTAATTACTCAAACATGAGGGGTTTTTTTTTTTGTAATTTAACCATAACTCAGATAAAAAACGAACTTTATCTCCAGCAAAACGACCCAAGAAGCAAAACTATGAATCAGGTCAAATTTTTCCGATCCTATATCGTTTAAACTCCTAAAAGTTCGTTGATTCTCTTCCTTCACCTTCGATAAATATCTATTTGCACTACATGGAGGGTATTTGTGTCAAATATCTTTCTTGTATGGTTCGCGTGGACTTGAGGAAAAGAAAAGGACCAAGACTTTGTGGTGGTTGTCGTCAACGGTATAATTATAATGTTTATGGAATATAATTTTTGTGTTGTGAATAAATATTTTAAGATAATATTTATAGTAGAAAATAATTTTGCGTTGTGAATAAATATTTAAGATAGTGTAATTTTGTTAAATATTTGATTAATTTAATTACTACATTAATTTTTTAAATTAAATTTATATTTCGTTGCACCATTAACTTTTATTAATTTAATTGAAAATTAAATGCCATGTAATTTAAATTGAAAAGTATTTTATATTTAGTGAAACAATTAGATTTATCCCCTCCCCTGCTTTTGCACTTACAATCTCATAATTTCATCAAAATGTGTAGGCAATACAAGTTTATACAAAAACACCATTATGCAGATCAAAACACAAAACAGCAAAAATATAAGTCCTAAATCACAAATTTACAACTAATATAATAAAAACAAAAACAACCAAAAAAACAAAAAAAAAAAAAAAAAAAAAAAAAAAAACCACCTCATCTAACACGGGAAATCCTTCGATGAGCCGGCACCGGAGAAGAAACCAAAGGCGGCGTAGCAGCAGCATTCACACTCGAACGGTGCTTAACGGTGGGGTCCGCTTGATTCTCTATCTGCACAACCACTTTCCTATTCGCAATACCGCTTTTCGGCGCTTGCAGCTCTTCGAGCTTGTCGATGACATCAGCCATTCTAGGCCTAAGCTTCGCCTCGTGGCTCAAGCACTGCAGAGCAATCGTAGCCGCAGCGAATGCCGCCTTTTGAGGGTATTGACCTTCCAATTTAATATCCATTATCCGGAACAATCTTCTCTTGTCGCCCATATACGGTAGGGCCCAGTCGACTAGGTTTTGCTCTACCCCGACCTTCGTTTTGTCCACCGCACGACGCCCCGATAGCAATTCGAGCAAAACTACCCCAAAGCTATATACGTCACTTTTTGCCGTGAGTCGACCTGTTTGTAACAAAATTTGAATTTTAAAAAAAAAATTAAAGAGGGCCTTTTTTTTTTGGGGAGTTTATTGGAATTAGTAAAAAACTACCTCATGTTATTTTATTGACAAAAATACCCCTATGATTTAATTTTACTTGGCAATTAGTACCCTTGTTTAAGGGGTTGTGAGCTAAAAAAAATTGAATCATTGGGGGGTTTTGCAAATAAAATAAATAGGGTAGTTCTTTTAGCAATCCGATACAACGCAGGGGTACTAATGGCAATAAACCCCTTTCTATTTTTGGTTAATTGACCTGTGGCGACGTATTCAGGTGCAGCATAGCCCTGAGTGCCCATAACTTGAGTCGAAACGTGAGTCCTATCACCGGTGGGGCCCGCTTTGGCTAGACCGAAGTCGGACAATTTGGCGTTGAATTCCTGCAATTTATCGAAATAAAAGTTGGAACTACCGATTCGTTTCGAAACTGAAATCAAATGTGAGTAAAGGGTTATGGATTTCATACGCCATCTAGAAGAATGTTGGAAGCTTTAAAATCTCGATATATAACTTGTTCTTCGGCCTCGTGCAAGAACGAAAGGCCCTTTGCAGCACCTATGGCAACCTTGATTCTAATTGCCCAAGAAATCGGCTGGGGCCCTCCTGGAAAATACGAGGCAATATAAAATGTCAAAAAACGAAACATTTGCTTAAGAAGTTGTAACACGAAATGTAAGAGAGATCATTGTTCTTTTGCGCTATTAATAACGTTTTAACTTATAGCCCAGCCGTAATTTTTAAATAAAACTGACGAAAACAGAAGTTACATTAACTCAGAAAGGTATCGATATACGAGATTCGTTGGTTTAAGATAGTAGTTAGTTTAAGAGAGTACATACTTCTGAACAAATGATTCTCCAAGCTTCCTTTCGGCATGAACTCGTACACCAAGAGCCGATTGTCCCCCTCGGAGCAGTACCCGATAAGTTTAACTAGGTTCGGATGACGAAGCTGTCCTAGATAATTCACTTCTGTCTAAAAAAACGAAAAGAAAACCACACAGCCATGCTCAAAAACAACACTTGCCGATAATAGTTTAAATCAAGAAATTGAACGGTAAAGAAAAAAAAAAACACGTACCAACCACTCTTTGTGGCCTTGGAAACCCTCGGGTTTCAACTTCTTGACAGCAATGACCAATCCAGATCCGGGTTTTGAAGCAGCGAGGGTATTTTCGTCAATCCATCCTTTAAAGACGTACCCGAATCCTCCTTCACCGAGGAGGCTGTCGGGCCGGAAATTCCTTGTTGCATTTTTAAGCTCGTTAAATGCGAAGGGCTTTACGTTGGGTGATGACAAGATTTCAGCTTCAGATCTTGGAGTGGGGAGGCTTTCGGCGCTGCTTTTGTTACTGTATGAGGGAATGCTTATGTTTGACGGATGCGACGAATTGCTGGTTTTGCTTGGACATTTTGATCCTTCTAAACGAAGAGAAAACGGCAAAAAAAGGAAAAGAACTTACGCGATTAGGGAAACATAAATTAGTAACTTACTTCATTCGATCATTTTTCCAAAAGAAGTACATTTACTTTTCGGATAAGATGGATATTTCGGGTAATCACATCCTTCGATTACGGAGGGAAACTTACGGTTAACTTACTTTGAAGCGGTATTCATATATTATATATACACTAAAAGTACCGATAAATCAACAAAAGTGAGCACGAATTCGTGATATTTTACGCAAGCTCTCGTAGCATAAATACATATATAACCAGAGGCTAAACTTACAGAGAGCATAGGCCTAATTAATTCCACTATGCAAGGTAAAAATTCGAACTTTATGCTCTCAGAAGATTCAACAGCAGTTGTGATTATAATAAACCAAATCAAGAAATAAAAACCGCACCCCTAAAATCAAGAAATTACATTTATCTCCAATTCTAATTTTAGTATTTTACAAATTCTTGCAGAAAAACAGAGAACAAGAGAGAGAGAGAGATAGAAAGTACCGTATGTGGTGCTGAGAGTTGCATCAACTCTTGCAGAGGAACCCAAACAATTTCCCATAATTAATCTTGCTCCAAACCCTCTTTCCACTCTACACAATATATATGGAGAGAGAGAGAGAGAGAGAGAGAGAGAGAGAGAGAGAGAGAATCAGCCAAGAAAAAGGAAAGGGTGAATAGCTAAATCAAGAATGGTGCAGAGTAGATGAAATCCCCTTTCCTAAATATCTCAAATGAGCAGGCTTTTGGGTGATGTTTGGAAAGTATAAATTACAGTAATAAAGATGAAAAGCAGAAATGTTTTTAGGCAACAGAAGAAGAAGAAGAAAACGGCGATGAGAGAGAGAGAAAGAGGAGAGAGAAGCAAAGATAGAAAATGGAGAGAAGGAAAATGGGAGGGTACTGCCTTTGCCCTTTTTCTTACACCATTTGGTTTGGTTTGGTTGGGTTGTTGGTTGCGGAAGGAAGGAAGTTCCTTAAATCTTTGCTTGTCTATCTTTTTTGCGCCCACCTAACTAAACGACAAAACACCTCCCCTGTCTATTTATTCGTTAACGTGTTTGCCACTGCCCACTATTACAATACTTTCTATTTCCTATTTTGACCCTCTCCCTATCCTTTAATTTTTTGGAGTAAATAGCACTTTTGCCCCCTGTAGTTTGAACTTTGTGCACATAGCTCCTTTATATTTTTAATATAACATATCAATCCCTAATATTTTATTACAAACATATAATCTCCTTGTACTTTCAAAAAGAATTATTTTCCCTAGTGCGGTATAATCATTTACCAAGTGGAATACGATAAAGGGCTTATATACTTATATTAAAACTACAGGGCATCGTGGTGCTTATATTTACATTGAAACTATAAGGAGTCATATGAACGAACCTTAAAATGTAGGGGGTTAAGTCGTATTTACCCTAAAATTTTGTTACGGATTCGTTTGTCAAAAAAGAAAGAATAAAATTACATGTTTCTCGAAATTGAATTTTTTATTTCTCCAAAAAAAAAAAAACAATTTGAGTTATTTATTAACTTGCATCATTATTGATTTGTGTTTTATGAAATCGTCTTAAGATTTTAAATAAATTAAATTATATATATCTTTGATTTGTTATTATAATGTGAATGCACTTCATCTTTTGACAAAATGAAAAAGGGAAACAACAAAAACAAATATTATTTTTGCCCCAATAAACAAATGGGAATCATATTATATGAATTTCAGTTCATAAAAAAAGTAAGTTGACTTACTCTATAGCAAGATGGACGAAATTTCAATTTCATTTTATTCCAATTATTAAATGTATTTCGTAACAAGCCAACAGAAATCATCGTATCTTCCCTTGGATTTTTAATAAGTTGACAAATGCAAAATTAATGACATCACAAGTAGGTGTGCTCATGTCATGACTTACCTATACTATATTAATTATTATATTTAAATATTTATTTAATTAAGTGGTGGTCAAAATAAATCGTTTTGAAGAAGATAAACACGAATCTGTATATAATGAAGAACAAGATTGCTCCCCTCATCAAGTGTCAATATACCATAGTTGTCTTCAAATTTTAGCTTCGATTTTTCCCTCTTCCTTTTTTTTTTTTTTTTTTTTTTTTTTTTTTTTTTATTTTTATTTTTTGTGTGGAAATATTTGTTGTATAACGTCTTCACTACGAAGATGAATGTGTTACTAGTAATTACTAATTAGGGCTTGACTTGGGTTGGTTTAATCGACTAACCGATCCACTTTTGAGGGTCGATAATTGATAATTAACCGGCCCATATAGTTGGGCCGATAATTGTAACCAATCCATGTATGTATGGATTAGTCAGTGGTTTTTTGTTTACTGAAATATCGGTTGGCCGATAATTACCCGACCAATCAGCTTTATTAATAATAAAAAAATATTATAAATATATTATTGTAATTCTTATTTCTAAAAGTTAAAATAAAATATAAAAGAAGTCAAAACTCAAAATACAAATTTATAGACATTTACATATCAATTTTTTTCATAATTCGTATTTCCTATTATTTTTTATATATTTGCTTTTTGTAGAAATTTAGCAGAACAGACTCTTAATTTTAAGATGATTGTTTTTGCTAAATTTTGAATATATATCTTTTTGAAAATCTTTTTAAAAAAATTGACAATAACATTAATATTGTAAAAAGAAAAATCAATAATTTGATGGCCGAGACCATCAACCAACCAATCTATTTTTAACCCGACAAAGTCGATTGTCAATCATTATCTGATCCACAATAATCAGGTCGGTATGATTTTTAATATTCAACAAAATCGAGTGATCGAATCAGGTAACAAATTGGCCGATAATTACCTGACGCATTCCCAGTACTATTATATTAGTAGTATCATGTACGGAGAAGTTCTTTTATTTTCTTGTTTTTAATGAGCAAAGTGGTTATATTTCCCATTTCAGTTTAAATTTGGAATGTTTTTATTAATAATTAATTGATGGGCATGGCCCAAATTAATTAATATCCCAACATCCGTAATTTAAGGTACCGCATCAAATCTTTTTAGCAATCACTTGCTTAATTACAATTTGGATAATAATACTAATAATAGAATAACCAAAAGGCCAAAATGACATCAAAGTTGTTTTAAGAAAAGAATAAAACGCGTTCATAGAAATTTCCTAGCAATCCCAATCACATTCACACCTTCTTTTTAGAAATTACATCCAGGCCCTTGTAGTTTGTAAATTTTTACATTCACCCCCCTGCGTAAGGATGTTAATGTAAGACATCTACAAATTATAAGGTGGATGTAATTATGGAAAAATTATAAGGTTTTTTCGTAAATAAACTTTACTTCAAGAGGGCAATTTTAATTTATTTTATATTCCACCGCCACGTGTACACGACTACTAATTAATCATTGACTAGTTTTATTCTCCTTTGATTGATGAGTTTAGTGGCATAATTTTTTATTCTTTTATTGCTAAAGGAGTAGCCAACAAAAAATTATATCGGTGCATTGGGTAAATTGCCCTCGCGCGTATAATAATTTGCGAATTAAACTAAATTATATGTGACAAATTCGATGTATGTAATGTTGGTAAAAATATTCAAACTCGAATTATTTGACTCTGGAAATATATTAGTTGCGAGAATTAGTGGATTGTGGAATTGAATTATTTTTAATATATAATTATCAACCACTGAAAAAGAAAACCATGGTGGAGCCTGGAGGGTGTAACGCTAATAAAGTCAAGGGAGCATAGACCTGAAAGTGGAAGGGGGCCAGCCAACCCACTTGTGCCACGTGGAATTCCTCGTTAATTCGGAATATAAACTCTCCCTTGCGACTTTTATAAAATGGGCTCTTCCAAATAAGCCCAGCGTTTGTTAATTATTCATAACGAGGCCCGTACCAAAAATTCAAGTCCATAAAAAATCTAGAGGTGTGTAAAAACTAAAACTACTAAAACACTGCCTCATATTTTAATATGTTTCGATTTCTTCCATTTAGCCCAATTTGACCACGAATTTACAGATTATTCAATTTTGAGCGTCGTCGTCGTCGATTTTTCTTTTTGCTGCCGCGGGTCTCAGATGACGTTGATTTATTTTTTTCCGCACATTGTTTAGTCCCGTAAAAAATAGTAATATTACTGTTGTTGAAATATCAACTATATTATTGTTTAATACAATCAAATTGTTTTAATACGATCTAACAATATAATATTAACACAACAAAATCACAATGTGACATAATAAATTATCGTATAATACAATAATATTATTATATTGATCGATCAACAAAGTCAAACATATTAAAAACTAAAAAAAATAATATTGAAGTTGTATGCTATACTAGTTTTTAAAATTAAAAAAAACGACATAAAAAATCGGAATCTCATATAAATATTCAAATTTTGGTAAAGAATTCGAAAAAAATGTGTACTGAAAAATATTGTCCAAAATTAGTTAACAAAATTAATAAGAACCTACAAGATTCGAAAAATTCATTTCAATTTCCATTTAAATTATAAATGACAAAACCGTGACATCAAAATATGGTTAACCCGACTCCACATGGAGACCCGCAA